AAAAAAAAAAAAAAAAAAAAAAAAAAAAAAAAATCAAATGTTCATGGATTAAATGATTACAAACAATTACATAAGTTCATATATTCATACGTATACGTACGTGTACACCCATTTACATACATCCGTATGTGTTAACTTATACATCATGCTATATTTGTGTGGCCAAACGCAAAAGGTCACAAGTGTTAACTCATTTAAAAGAATACTACAAAATAATATGCATTCAAAAAAATTCAAGTACAATTTTGCAGTGACATAAATTTCATTTAAAAAGGAATGTTGCTATTTTTTTTTTTTTTTTTTTTTTTTTTTTATCATTTAACACTAATTGAACGTTTCACGTATTAGCGTTTTTATTTTACTTTATTTTACTTTATTTTACTCTATTTTACTTTATTCTGTTTTATTATTATTTTTTTAATTCGCTATGCGCACATACCCAAATGTGCATACTAGCATACATATATGTATATATGTACATTTTGCGCATGAAAGAAATTACCTCCCAAACACTTGATTAGCAGTTACGGTACTTAATGGGGTGGAACATGTTTAATAAAACAAAACTGAATTATTTTTCTTCAAAGTACCATGTGTGGGAGGTATTTATTTCACACTTTGGGCGTTCTCAATTTTTTTTTTCTTCTTCAGTTATTACTATCACAATGTTGCGTATATACGCCTGCCCCCACAAAATTTTCCATTTTACCTAAAATGTGATTTTGTCTATACCTATATGTCACTGAGAAAAGAATGAGTGTGGGAGCTGACCAGAATGCCCACTTATCTACACAAAAGGGGTAAATGCCAAATGGGAAATGCCGAATGGAAAATACCAAATGTGTAATGGGGTCAACATGTTGCACTAACTAGTAAAAGCCAATTAAACTATATACTCCCACCCAACTAACAAAATGGGCGGTACTGCCCCCCCCACAATTGGTCCCGCGCATATCAGTTGTAAATCGTACCCTACAGCTGTATATAGTTCGAGAAAGAAAAAAAATATATGTACATAGACAGCGGATGGGAAAATTGTTCTCTTTTGAAAATTTCTGCACCTTTAAATGCGGCCCTTACGCGCCAAACAAAAAAAAAAAAAAAAAAAGGTGTCATTTTAGGGGGTACCTAACGGCTAAGCTGTGCACTCGTTATATAGGTTTATATTTATTCCCCATTTTTGCCCCTATGTTATGCACGTACCCTTTCTTCCACGCATGTACACATGCGCAGCGCGCGCCTTCTCCGCATGATCGGGGAACTCCACAAATGTGTACTGACTTATGACAATCTGAAATACGCACCCTCTCAAAGTGCACACCCACAAAGGTATGTTCTCGAAATGGTACAACATCAATTTATCTTATTTTCAACAATCAGGATATTTTTTAACCATTTTCGGCACCGTGAATTCAGCACATTTCCACCTTTTTTATTTTCCCCTTTTCCCGTTTGTACCATTACTGGAAACGCGTTTAACCAACAGGAGTAACGACATTTTATGATGCGTACTGGGGGAATGTGTGATAACCGGAGTTATATATTGTCTTTATGTTAACTAGCAGTAGGTATACTTAGGGGGGTTGAAATGGCCGTTTGGTTTTTCCATTTTGTTTTTTTTTTTTCCTGCATAACGCTTGATAAGTGGACGTTTTGCAGGTGGCTAGTTCCAATTTTTTCTTCTTTTTTTTGTGGATATTTTAAAAATGTCCTATTAAATTGTACAAAATATTGATAGTGCTTGTTACAAAAAGTTATTTGTGTGCAGTCCACATAACCTTAGCAAATTTTTTTTTTTTGCAAAAATTGCAAATTATGTACACTCGGCACAGGACTCGGTAGCATGTTTAGCAGTTCGATCTCTGTCAGTTAATGTGTGTGGTTTTCTACATTTCGGGAAGCAAAGCAAAGCAAGGATGTCTGAATGAATAAGCAATTCACAATTCAGGAAAGAAACCGTTGTCCTCTTTCTTTTTACGTTAAAAATTTGCTGACATTCAGTTATTTTTTTTTTCTTTTTACTTTTTCATTCTCCAGTTATTGTTTTGTTTTCTTGCATTCCTCTCACTTTTTGTTATCAAGCTTTTGTTCTTTAGCGTACCTTGTCGTAGCTATCCATCTTTCAAGTAGTGCATAAATTAGTGACGATTCAATTGTAACCCTACTATGTAGAGGGAAAGGGATGCACTCGCAAAATAAATGACACACGCCCCGTTTTTCAACTCCACTTAAATAGATACACATGTGTATATGCACAATTATGGGTACACTCATATGAGTGTATACAGAGTTCCAAATCCGCCAGGGTTATGATGCACTAATTTGTCCTCTCAAAATGATCCAAAGGAAGTACAAAGACTATTGGACAGGGATTCATCCCAGGTAGACATCGAAAATAAGGAAGAGTGCTCCCTTAAATATGACACTATGAAGACGCATTTCAGGCACGTCTACTTAATTCACTGTAGGGGGCTTGCAAAAAGTGTACGACTAAATTTGGAGGGCGAGTCAAAAAAGACGGGTGCACATCAGAGTGAAGAACCAAATCGGTCTTGCAGTGTAGGGAGAACAAAATCAAGTCGTGTTCTTCAATGAGCGAGGGGGAAAAATAAACAAATCGGTTTGTCGCATCACCAACCTTTGCTACAAGACATGGAAGTATCAGTGCCCACCGGAAGGGATACCCCAAAAAAAGGGTCCAGGAAACACATTTCTAGTAAAAGGATTTTTCCACAGAAAGGAAAATCTGTAGGTTGTATCACAACACCGATTAACAATAAAAAATGTGATAGCTATGATGATAATAACGATGGTGATCTTGGTGACACTTCCCCCGCGCGTGACATGAAGAAAAACTCCCTTCAGGAAAGAAAATTAATTAAACTTGTTAAGTACGCGTTTTGCGTACTCGACACGGCCGTCGCGCGAGCAGAAGCCATGACAGTAGTAGCGACCGAAATCCCAGACGCTGCAGAGAAACAAAGGAAAAGACACTGAACGAACTCATACTAAAAAGGTACATCAAACGGAGAAAATCCTTTGCTAGAAAATTGTACGATATCAAAAAAAAGGATACACAAAATTGCAAAAAAATATAGACAGGAGGAACAGGGGACAAAGAAAATCCTTTGTTATTTCCCATTTTTTATTCACAAAAAAGAAATAATAAAAATGAAAAAAAAATGTAGAACAACAAATATACGAATGGAATGCTTGTCTCACGAATTTTTTTTCAAAGTTTTTAAAGCTTTCTTTAACGAAGACTCATATATGCCAATATAATTTGCGCATATTTAAACAAACACCTCGTCAATAGCATAAAATATTCGATGTTTGACAAGCATAAGAATGCAAAGCTCCATTTCCCCAATTTTTATTTTGTGCATGTTGTTATTTCCCTTTCATTTTTTAACTCACAAAAGGTACTCTTACTTTCCCCAACCTTTTTCTACATGAAATATTTATCATCTAATCCAATTTTTGTTCTCTGCAATCATGATGATATGGGCAGCTTGTTATGGGGAAACGGTGGAAGGGTTCTCCGGGAGCGAGGAGACTGGCCTAAGTGGGAAGAATCATCATATAGGGAGAGTTCACCAGAGAGAGAAAACCCATGGGAGGGGACAACCTCATTGGGGGGACTCAATTCACGACTAGAACACAAATTAAGGGGGATAGAAAGCCAAGATGGCGAGCAAAAAAAGACACGCCACGAAAAAAGCAAACGGTGCAATACCCCGCGCGGGAAAAAAAATGCACTCCTCAAAGAAACAAAAATATGTATCGATAAAAAAAAAGGAAAACAGCACATGTTACTTCCATGCTATTTGGAAATTGTCAATGACCATCTACTTATATACCTTTTTGATAACTATGATAATAAGCTATGCTGGAGACTCGAGCGGGGGAATTACTCCCTCGAGACACGGGAAATGACAGATAGGGAGGGACAAAAGGAAGCAACGCATGCGACGGGGAAGAGGAAGAGAAGGGCAAGATGTACAAGAAGGATCAATGGCGAAACCGCTGCGCCAACATCACATCCATCTGAAGAGGGACACTCAAAAAGCGGCACATCAGATAACGTGCAAACCGATGTTGTATACGGAGTCATTAGTACCGACGAAAATGAAGACTCACCAATGTCATCTGTTATCAAGAAGAAAAAAAAAACTATGTCAAAGTACAAACCATTAGAACACAAAAATGGTACAAGTCACATAAGGGGGAACTACCTAACAGGTGAAAAAAACTGCTTTGTAAAATGTGTGCGTCTGTTCTCTAACTGCTTCAGTAACTTAAAGGACAGTTTGAGGAGAAATCTTTGCCTCTGCTTTGCATGTTACGAAGGGGAGGAGAACAGATTACGGAAGGGCAATTCAGACTACATCAAATTGGTAGTAAAAATAAACCCAGCTGCCTTCCCGAAGTTAAGCAGCTCCCTAACTATAAATGACCATGCGTGGGGGAAGCTAACGGAAAGGAATAAGCTTCTTATTCGAGAAAGGATTAAAGAGGTCTGTCTGGACGTCGAGCAAGTGTTTCTAAGTGCGGGAGAGGGCTCACCCGAAATGGATTCCAATGTAGCCCAATCAGACGAAATGCTCAACCGTAGCGCAACGGATAAAAGCGACTACTCGAAGTCCCCAACTGATGAACACGTCAAAGTGCAGGAATTTGTCCAGCCTGAAGGAGTTCAGTCCCAAGATGAGACGCTAGACCGAGAGACCCCCATTAGCAGCACACACGTAAGCGACACAGAGTTTGCGCACGCGAAATGGCACGAACTACATCTATTTACATTCAACTTCTACAAAAATAAATTATCAGAGCTGATAACAAATTATACAAAGTCGATCGGAGTGGATGATAACAATTCGCGTGAGAACCGCGCAAATGCATACCACGACATGCGCTTAGACAGAATAGAAAAGAGAAACTCAATAAATGAATCGTGGAGGTATGACCAAGTAAGCGAAGAGTCACAAAAGGAATATGTCGGAAGGAAAGAAGAACAAAAGAACATTTCTTACCTCCTAAAAGGTATAGAAAGAATGAGAAGCACAACGTTTATAAAAAAAAAATTTATGGAAGATTCAGCAAACAGTACACACAAAGAATTATTATTTTACGATAAAAATCAACAGCTATTTTGTAAATACGTAGGAGAAATGAAAAATAAATTTTACAATGGACATGGGAAATTATATGACAAATTTAACAGCTTAATTTATGATGGGCAATGGCTCAATGCACAAAAACATGGAAAGGGAAAATTACTATTCAAGTATTTTAACATTTGGTATTTGTATGAAGGACAATTCTCAAATGACGAAATTGTAGACAGGGGTATAATTTCCCTAATCGATAAGGAATATGTGAAGAGGATACAGTCTGATAAAATTAATAAACTGTGTCCCCTGCTCATTAAAGTAAATTTTGGAAAATATAAATGGAATGCAATTACTAAAGGGGAGATGGAACAAAACCCACAATTTCAAAAAGAACTCATCAAACGGATAGAAAAAACTGTTATGGAAAATTACAGCCCTAATAATAATTTAGATTTCTGGCCAAAAGAAATTACAGATATTTACTTCCCCTACTTGAAGAAATGGAATATCTACTCCTTCTACTGCTCATGCAATATAGAAAATATCAAAGGCAAAAAGGAAATCTTCGAGTCCAATGAAAACAATTTTAAGAATTTAATTGGATATCCTTCCTTTGAGCTTCGCAATGGCAGGAATGATCTCGATTCGAAGGAGCAGCGAAGAGACGACGAGTTGCAGGAAGACAGCGAGGCCACCCCAGGGGAAGATTATCCTCATCAAACCTGTAGCGAGGCTGAACCAAAATGCGATTCTCCCAAGCAGGCATTTCCAAATCATCCCTCGCAGGAATACATTGTGTACAAGCGAGATAAGACGAACGTCCTGCACGAGGAATTTTTCGAGTACATGAAAAAAAAAAACGAGCAGAAGCTGTACTATCCCCTACTCAGCAAAACGGTTGGGTTGGCCAAAATCATATACGCAGACAAGAGTGAATACATTGGACCGATCAATAGCAGGGGGCAGCCAAACACCAACGAGCAATTTCCCCAGGCTATTTTTAACAATAACGATTTCTTGTATGAAGGAGAAATGAAAAATTTTCTGCCGCATGGATATGGTATATTCAAAAATAAAAAAAATGGGAAAAATACCTACTTCGGATTTTGGAAAAATGGACAGAGAGAAGGAAATGGAAGTCTCAATTTGAGAAATAAAAAATATATTGTTCAGGCAAACTTTATAAAAGATAAGTTGCATAGTAACGTTAATATATTCATAAGGGATGAAAAAATATGCAAATTGTACATATCAAATGTAAGTACAAATAGCCAGAAAATAAAAATATTTTTCAGAAATGGCTACATTTTTTATGGTCATTTTTCAGAAAATTATCAACGAAATGGGATAGGCATCCTCATAGACAGCAACAACAAAATTTTATACCATGGGTATTACAAAAATGACATGATTGATAAATTCTGCTACATCCTACGACATAAGGATAACACTATATATTGTGGGAACCTCTGTCAAGGGATGAAAAAAGGCTTTGGAAAATTATATTACGAAGAAAAATTACACTTTGATGATGAAAATGAATTCAATTTAAGTTTATCTAATGCAAAAATTTTAGCAAGAAAATTGGAGTCATATGATGGTATTGATATCAATTCAGATATCCCCTTAAATTTTGCTCTTGATTCTAACCATGTCATTTATGTTGGCTATTGGGATGAAAATAATTTTTCTCATTTCGGCTCATGTAATTTGAGGAATGGCATTTATAAAGGGGATATAAAGGATTCCAAAAAAGATGGCTTCGGAATCTACATATACAAAAATAAAAAATCTTATAAAAATAAAAATAGATATGTTTTGTCCTATTTTAAAAAAGACAAAATTAACAGCATCGGGAAATACTACAGTGAGTATGATAAAATGAAAGTACACTCTTTTCACAAAGAACAAATTAAACGCAAAAAATCAGTTTACGAAAAATGCTTCAATAAGGGAAAAATCAAATATGACGTCTTAAAAACTGATAAACTGTATATAAATCAGGAGATCGACTATTATATTACCGTGCCTCTTGCCGACACACTCTCTATTATTATGAACGAGGTTTTGGATAAATCAACCAGCTTTGTCCATTACTTGTATCGCCCCTTTAAATTCGATTTGAATTATTTCTTGAAGAAGTGACACACACACAGGATGACAACGCGGTGTAATATCGTCATGTCCTGTGTGCAGCCGAGCCACTTCTGTCCCTTTTTTTTTTTTTTTTTTTTTGTCACCTCAATGTTATAAGCACGTGTTTGTCATAAGCAGGCCCATCGCGGAGAGCAGTTTGTTCTGCATCAGCACAGTGTTCATCCGCACATTGGCAACTCGAAATTGCTAAAAAGGCAAATATTCGCATTTTCCTTTTTTTTTTTTTGTCATTGTCATACTTCAATTGGACATTAACACATCACATCAAAAAGAACAAAAAAGAAACGTCTTTTTGGCTTCTCTTAAGAATACACATTCGTGCGTACGTGAGTGTCCATTTAGGTACACAACTCGTTACATACCCATGTCGTTAATTTTTTCAACTTTAAAATGACCCATTTGTAAAGAAATGGCAACAATGGTTATCAAGGTAGAATATTCAAAATGGGCTGAAGCAAATGTAGGTTTAGGGGGAAATAGGGTTGAGGCGCAAAAAGGGCATTCCAAACATGTGTGCGTGTATGGGTGTGGGGGAAAAACTCAAAGTTCGAGAAATGTAACCAATGCCAACAAATGGGGAAAATAAAAAAAATAAAATGAAAGATTTACAAAGGAAGGCAGGGAAGAATGGAGCAAGGGGATGTGGGAACATTTGACGTGCACCCCTAACTTCGGGTCCTTCATTTAATTATTTTTTTCAGGCGCTCCAATTCGCATTTTACATTGCGGGGAAACAAAATCAGCATACAACATGCTGCTTTTAAAAAAATACATAAAAAAAAAATGGGGGGAAAAGTGGGTTAAAAAAGAAAAAAGGGGTATCTTCTTAAGGCTGGTTGGCTAGCTATAGCTATGTACCCCTGGGAAAGAGAAATTGCTAATTTTACATCTACGGAAATATACGTGTGTACATTCCATTTAGTGCACCAATTTGTACGTTACTCTCCGCCCCCAAATTAACCCACACTTCTCTTGGCATTCGATATGCTTTGCCAGTTGTTCAACATAATTTTCTGCGCACAAAGAAGAGCTTCCCTCACAATATCTCTGTCCTTCGTTGCAATTAAAATCATGACGTTTTCCTTTATTCTAAATTTTTGACAAATTTTCTTCCCATTCGGGTAGAGCCTCGCGAATTCGCCAATGTCAAAACAAGCCACTGCCACAGTCACTGCGTCTACTTCTTCCTTCAGTTCCATGGAGTCACTCTTCTGTGCTACATTATGTGCATAGCTTTTTATAATGTCTGCTAATTGTTGTATGGCTTTAAATTCATCTTTTTCAAACTGCATGACATTTTCAAGCCAAAATTTTTCGGTGTGCAAAACGGACCACTTTAGCTTTCCCTTTGAAAGTTCGTGGCAGTATCGTTCGAAGTTGCTGCAAAAAGGAAGGATGAGAAAAATACAACAATAAAAGGGGGGGATTCATATTTATAACAGCAATTTTGCTATTTCTCTCTCTAGAGCGTGGCTCGCTTTGCACTTGATGAAGGACACTCAAGTGGGTACACAATTTTCCTAAAGCCGCTCATAAGGAACTAGGCGTTTTCGCACAAATATTCGCGAGTCTATGCTGATACGCATTCCACAACCACACAGGCGCACACCGTGTGGAGCATAAACTGAAGGGATAACCCACCTGTAATTCTTCACGCGCTGGTCCAACTTGTGCAGAAGCTGAACTATGGTATCATAAATGTCGTTATCTCTCCATTTATCATACTGTAGCACAGTCAAGGTTTGAATTATATTATTGTCTACAATAATTTCGAAGCAATCGTCCATGTGCATTATATTTTTAATAATGTTGAGTGAAACTCGCAATATCTTTTCTACTCGACATTTTTTAAATAAATTAATTATAACAGAAATTATGTTATTTTTATATAATTTTTTAATAAAGTTATCCTTAAAGGTAAGTAGCCAAACGCAGAAAACAGATTTGTATTGCTTATTGGCATTATTATTACTTAACTCTAAATTTTTATTAATTATTGTAAGAAATTGCTCCAACTCGTATATATCCTTTCTGTACTCATCAATTTTCAATATGTTTATATATATGTCCATTTTCCCTTCCTCTGATACGTTAAAAAAATCAATTTTTAAAATAAAGTCTTTAATCTCCGCCTCTGTAAAGTAATTATTATTACTGTTGTAGCAAAAGCTACCTGACAAAAGGAATGAACTCTTGTCTGCTATGTACGTGTCATTATGAGTACACAATTTCATCAAGTACGAGTATATACTTTTGTCATTTAATATGCTTAAAATGTAGCTATAAGAACTTCCATCATTCCTTATAATTTCATAAAATACAGTTAATACGTACTGAATTAAATGAATATTAAAATCTGTTTGCAAACAATTGAACAAGACTGTTACAACTGTGTTATTCTCCTTAAAAAATTCGAACTTTTCTTTTTTGTTAAATGCGTGAAATTTTTTTAACAACTCTACATCCTCTGAAGACAAAATGTTTATCTCTTCATATTTGTCATAACATGGCATCTTATTTAGGATGGAATCGTGTAGTATCTGCACAGGTAGAAGCGGTTGTTCGTGGAGCAATGGCGAAGTGGGTTCATGCCCGTTGTACAGATGGGCGCATATGTCCCCCTGCACAGTATGCGATCGGGATTCCTCAACGTAATCCAGCATGTTGTTCTTATGCGCGATGCATGAGAAACTCTCGTGCGGATTGTATAGCCACCGTAGGTCAGCTCATGTACACGCTCCTACTCATCGGTTTAGTATCACATGTGAGTACAACAACAAGAAACGCCCCTCCGTGAGTACACGCGGGGGACGCTGCTATAACAACAGCGCTATACTCATTCGCATCGGCGTCGTTTCTCTTTACCTGGCTCTTCTGTTCGGATTCCACAATTTTGGAAATGACGCTAATTCCACTATCATTTGCCATGGTGTTTATATATAAAATATATCACTACAAAAAAAGAAAAAACGAAAAAAAACCAAAAAAAAAAAACAAAATCTTAAAGACGAAAAGGAGGATGATCAAATAATAACATTGTAAAAATATCAAACTTCGCATGTGCTATTTTTGAAATTTAAAACAAGGCGAAAAATTAAATTTCATAAAATTGCACAAACATTCATAATTATGTTTCCATAAACAAGGAAAAGATGCATAAACGTAGGTAGGAATGTAAGTATACACGAATTATATATGCACGTACGTATGTTATGAACGTATGTATATACAAATGCCCCTCTTCTGATTTATATCCCTTATTGATGGAGTTTCGCATTGGAAAAATATAAGCAAAGTTCACTATCTCCCTCGTTGAAAAAAATAAAAATAAAAAAATGTACGTACAGTGTCGCCGCCGCTAATGCTCGTATGGCGCTTAGCCACGAACGCATCGTCAATAATATGTGCGCGCAGGTGTAACTTACGTGATGGCTGCGCATGCATACGTGCATATGGGAACAAATGTATAACCTGAAAAATGATGTATCCGCGCGTGAACAATTTAGGCATGTGAATATTTTAGCATGTTAATAGTTTAGCATGTGAATATTTTAGCATGTTAATAGTTTAGCATGTTAATAGTTTAGCATGTGAATTGTTTAAGCATGTGAATTGTTTAAGCATGTGAATTGTTTAAGCATGTGAAAACTTTAGGCATTTAAATAGTTTAGCCATGTGAACGGCACAAACGCGCAAGCAGGCATGCCTAGACTAAACATACGAGCATTAGTCGACCTCGCAAGCAATATCACATTTGCGAAGGAATGTCAATCAGATATAGGTGTATAACAACTAAATGACACGCGGCACAATATGGCCTGCGCGCATTACTCAATGAACTCTTTTATGCTTATACGTGTAATGTAGTGTCGGATAAGAACACAAAAGGTACTAATTAAAATCCCCCAAGCCTATTAACATTTTTTAAAAACGGGTTAGTTAATGCCTTTCGAGTGAAAGGGAACAGTTCTTCGTTAAATAATTCATTCGAGTGTATAATCCTTTTAACTCATTTTGCCATTTCACCGCTCCATTATTTTCCAACACAACCTACGTGGGAGATACGTCATGGCAATTGCTCTAACGTACGCAAATTCTGTCTGAAATGCATGAACATTTATTCAAGTCCTTAATCGCCATGCGGGGACATATCGATACCATTCATTTTATGTGAGCAAAAGTCGTGTGAGAATGTGAAAAGGACGGAACAAAAAAACAATGTGCGATAAAAACGAGTATAGCGATGTAAAACGCAACAGGGAATCGAATCGACCGAACACATGTACATATAATACACATTGTATACACATTGAGCGGAAATGTGTGTCCACGCAAAGCCGCTTAAATGCTCAATTGTCGCATTTTTCTGTTGCTATGTGGAAGCCCTTTTGGAAAACCAGTGTACACATTCGTTCCGGAACTTCAACGGGCGAACGTAGAGACGGTCAAAAAAGGAAAAAAGCATAACAGCATAGTAATCCAGTAAAATTTATTCACAACAGAATGGAAAAATTACATTCATGAGAAAACACATTTTTTATCAATCTTTTATCCTTTTAATTAAAAAAATTGTTTTTTACATGTTAAAAAAAAAAAAAAAATTAAAACAAAATAAAATGTACATATAACATATACAATTTGAACAGGAAATACCTACAAAAAAACGAAAAGGTATAACCAAAAGCAAATTTTAAAAAGCGGGTTAATTTAATGACCTTCTCATTTCTGCTTTTCTTCAAAAGTAACCAAAAAAGAAAAAAAAAAAAAAAGTGAGGTATACAATTATAAGCATACAATGACTTATTTGTATGCAAAATAATATGATACACAAATTACATAATCTCCAAAGCAGCGTCCTTTGGGGGAAAAGGGTGTGTTTGCCTGGTTTGGTCACTGTTGTGACGCTTTCCATAACACGTACACATATGTGTGCACGCATAAACGTAATATATACGTAATACGCACATACATGCGTGCATAAATTTAACACACATTGTGTATACACTGTTCTGCTATCTCATCCACACATAGTTCGTACTACTCTTGTTTTTTTCGCTGATTACAACTTGAATGAAAAACCTGTGATGGGGGAATAAAATTGGGGAAAATATGTATAAGCCGGCGTGAATAAGGGGTTGGGGGAGGCGCACAATTTGGAAAAGACGCAACCATATAAAATTAAATCCACACACATAAGCATGTATATATTAATAACTGATGAAACAAACATGTGCGAGAAAACAAAAAAAAACGGTTGTGCAGAAAAGCAGTCGTCTTTACTTACTTGTAGTGTGATGGTGCTTGCAAAATATAAAAACTGTTTTTCTTTTTATACGCTTGTGTGGATCTTGGGCGAAAAAAAAAAAAAAAAAGAAATTTATTTATTATGAGCACTTGCAGTAAGAAATATAACAGTAAAAATCAATCCAATGCTTGACAAATGAACAAAAACAAAACAGAAATACATAAAAGGGTAAACTACTTTATGATTCTCCCCATGAATTGGGTCTCATTCAGATTAAGCAGCCTCAAAACATCCTTTTTAATTAGAACACAGAAAAAAATACAAAAAAAAAAAAAAAAAAAAAAAAGTGAGGATTTTATTTTTCCCATAAGAGGGGGAAACTATATAGGCGCTCACGTGCACACAGCACGCGCATGTACATATATACACAACATATTCATAGCTTTAAATTTAAATTAAAATTTGTATTTCATTTCGATGGAATAGAACAATTGCAAAACTTGTTTATACGAACAACAATGTTTTCGTATTAATTACTTGATAATTTTTGACATGAACAAATAACTTCCCATAATGCGCAAATTTATTGACCAGAACTGTGTCATCATTTTTTTCATCATATTTATATAAAATCGTATGATTTGTTGACTTGTCTGAATTAATTTGCATTATTTTATTTTTTGTGAATTTTTCTAAAAACTCCACCAATTGCTCCGTAATACAATTAAAATGAATGTTGTTAAAGTATACGTAAGTTACTAGGTGCTCAATTTCTTCCAGTTTAATGTCTAACGGATTAATGGAATATTTATTTATATTTTCAATAATGTCGATGGAGCCATCGCCACTATGGCTGCTCCTTTCATCAATGTTGATCTTACGTATATTTTCGCACTTCCCATTACCATTATTCATATCATACTTCACACGATTTGGGTGGTACCCTACATTTCCGTTTTCTCCCCCTCCTATCATTGGACTGCTACTTCTAGAACGTGTACCCCCCTCAGCAGCGTTGTTCGGTTTCAAGTGGGTTCCACTACCCGTATTTGTTCTCTCTTCACTCTCTTCTTGTTCCTCCTTTTCTTTCCCCTTTTCAAATAATTCCATCTCCTCTTCTTCCTCATCCTCATCACTTGATATATCCTCATCGTCACTACTCATCCAGTCGTATCTTTTTTTCTTTTTATTATTTCCATTCTCGGTGATGGCTTCATCACCACCTACCGCCACGCTGGATGCGTCATTTTTCTCCTCTTGTTCATTCACCTCCTCTTCCTCTTTTTCCAAATCAGCCCATTCGTGTTCTTTCAAATTGTTTAGAGAGTCTAAATCAATTTCTTCTGAATCATCATCTAATTCCTCAATCCATTTTTTTTTTTTTTTTTGCTTTTGGGCTTCAACAAGTTTCCTTCTTCCTAGCATTTTCTAATTTGTTCATTCAAAAGACATTGTCATGCAAGTGCAGATATGTATAAGTGTTGTTTGACAAGCGCGCGCACGCTATATGTGAGGGGGCACGCGTAGGTACATGGGCGTTATGTACACATAATGCGCATAGACATGTCCGTATGTGCCCATCCACATGTAAAGCAACAAACATGAATATTAATTCATCTGTTCGCACAAAAGTGCTAACATGTACTTAGTTTTACTAATTTATAAAAAATCAGAAGAAACCTAAGGCCGCTTTTTAAAAGAAGTCTATCGTACTGAATTATTCATGGATTAAAAACATAGGAAAATTTAAACCGAAGGAGAGGAGTTATATTTAATTGTAAATATAATGACATAGGGCAGGTGGGGCCACAATTACATGTATGCGCTTTGTTCGCTATGTTACATATTATGTACGGTAATGGTTATGTAGCTCCCTTATATACGTGTTTAATAAACATATAACGCCCGTTATAGTCTGCGTATAATGTTGAGAAGGCTTTATTTTTAAAGTATGAACTTGTGGATTTAAAAAAAAAAAAAAGATAATCATACAAAATATAGTTACCTTAATTGTTCTCTATAACTTTTGGAATATTTCACGTTCCTTGCCTAATTTTTGCGCATTTTATTGTTTTTTTTTTTCTTTATTTTTTCTTGTTAAATGGAACAAAATACAAAACAGACTTGTTTCATGCCGATGGGTAAAAAATATGCATGAGAGTGGCTTATCTTTGATGAATTTAAAAACAGTGCCGCAGTTGCATAATTCGTAAATACAATAATTTAAAAAGGAATATTTAAAAACAATGTCATGATGGTATAACAACTCGTTCCAATAATGCATTCAATTGGACGTATTTAAAAAAAAAATATATGTTTATTGTACCTTTTTTTTTAGCGTGCATTTTGCGTTTTTCCTTTAAGTACATCCTGTTCGCGGAACGTCACTGCTGATGGGATTGCGCGTATTACGTGGTCGCCAAAA